TAGTAGTAGTAATAATAATAATAAAGACACAAGCACAAACATGCCAGTAAGGCACGCAACATACACAACGCAAGGACTTTATGCAGACTTCATCAGTACTTCCTAGACCCAAAGACACTCTCAGTCTCAGATAGTCTCTTGTATACGTCGTATACGTACACTTATGGCAACGGCAGGGCTTCCACAGTCTGATCTGCAAGTCGAGTGTGAGCCCCCTCTACGGCCTCCGGTCACCTTTGAAGTCAGTCCTGTCAGGACATCGGTGTGGGAGACCTACAGAGGACCTACAGCCCTAAATCTCATGATGTCGACCACTGACTAACGTAAGGATAATGCTTACAACACTCATAGAAGTCCCAACAGAAACAGTTACGGCGACGTCTGCTACTGAGCAGGGGTCTTGGAGCTCAAGGCTTGCTCTTCGGCTGGACTTGCCCGCCACAACATGCATCTTTGGGTGACAGCGTGCGGCTCCAGCTCTAAGGCTCAACAAGCGAGCATGCGCGCAGTCTGCCCAAAGAACCGTCGCGGCGGAAGCCGCGCTACGTGTCCTGCAAGTCGCCCTGCCACTCGACTCGCTCCGCTTCTCTCCGTGCCGCGCCGAACACCGAATAATGACCCCACTTTTGTGGAGAAGACACGACTTGTTGCTCACCATAGTCGAACCCCGTCAAGAACCTGACATGGCGCCCTGTAGAACTCTTCGTGAGCCCTTGTAGACAACCCTTATACTTCTACTAGAACCCTCATAGGAATCCTTAGAGTATCCCTTGAAGAAAACTGTCTTGGAGCCCTAATGCTTCAGGGGAGTCGCATCGGGCCTCTGGCTCTCCCTCGAGCACATCGAGGTGGATGGCCAGCAGCCGCTTCTCCTCCGTTTCGGGGGCTAAGCTTGGGAGAGGGCCTGAATTTCAAAAGTCTGCAGTTTCTGTCCGGCTTGATGCTTGCATTGCAAGGTTCAGGGTTCTTGGGTTTGGGCTTCAGCATCTTCAGGGTTTAGGGTTTCGGGGCTGTTCGATGTCTCCTTTTGGTAGGCCAAGGTCGCGCTGCCAACGTAGTTCATCTTCTTCTGCTGGAAGCCTGGGCCGCTTGTCCCTGACACCTCGCACAGCCTCCGCATGTGAATTTCCGATAAAAAGGAACCCCCTATACCAGACCCTCAAGAATCGGACCTTGGAAAAAGCAGGACCTCTTTTAAAGAGGCTCCTACCTTTTCAGAAGAGCTTCATGGCCCGCAACCTAACAGCCCGAGTGCAAAGCTTCCCTTGACAAACTCTACGACTCCACGAACCGAAAAGCTTAGGCCCGTTTATGTCGACGTTTCCCCCTGCGAGGGAACGGAACAAAGCACGACAGAGAGGATTTACGAAATTTACGACTGAAGAACTCCAGTTTCACATTCCACTGGCTTGTAGCCTACGGCGTTGCTGTCTTAGGGTCATGGTGAAGGGGATGAGGCTGGTACGGGATACTGTGGCTTCGGGTCAGCGGAAGTGTGATGCAAACTTCTGGCAACGACCTGCCGTTGCCCTGCGACTGCAAGCAAAGCGGCAACCTCCACGGGTGTTGGACTTCTTCCACAAGGCCACCACTGCGCTCCTGACGCGAGGACGTCAGAGCTGGCGATTCGAGTTAAATCACGCAGAGAGTTCCACTACAGTATCCATTATGATGTATAACAGTGCTTATATTTGTATGTGCATATAAAGATATATACATGTATAACTCTCTCCCACTGAGCAAATGTAGCTCGAATCCTGGCCCAACACTTAAACCTGGAGGTTTGACGCAGATCTCCTGTCCAGCTGATGGGTGATTTCACCAGGCTCTGGCGCCTTCTGCCACTGATCCACCTCACGGGTCCGGGTTGAGTTTAGGGTTTAGGGTTTTTGGGTTTAGGGTTTAGGGTTTAGGGTTTAGGGTTGGAGTCGAATGCAACTGACCAACTTTCCACGATCACATGGCCCTGGCATCCAAGAAACACGGCAAGTAGCACAGACAGCGTGCCAGATTGATCGGAGTTCGAGCTTCAAGCTGCAACAGTTCTTGACTTTGGACTTCTACTGGCTATATTGGGGCCCTGTGGCTTCAGAACGGATTCTATGGCTCGGGCTTGAGGCGGACCCGGGTTCCGGGGCCGTTCAAGGCCGGTCGAGCCTGCAAACATGACAAGCATGAGGGTTTAGGGTTTAGGGTTTAGGGGAGCTTCGAAACCGGAGCGGGGAGGTGGCGGCTTCGAAGTTAGCTTCTGGTTTAAGGTTCAGGGTTTAGGGTTTCTGGTTGTGGGTTTATGGGGTTTGGGGGCTGGGGGTTATTCGGTCTACTTCGTACCCTTCAACGAAGCAAGGACAACCCCCGCCTTGTTCGCTGCAAGGTAATCCGCAACTTGCACCAGGCAAGCACGACCCTTGTCTTCGGTCGAAGTGTCGGCCTGCTACACTTTTATAATATAGTTTAATATCCCAAGTTCATCCTAGGGTTTAGGGTTCGAGGGTTTGGGGCTATGCGTTGAAGGTTTGCGGGTTGAGGATTTGGGAGGCGGCTTGCTTTTGTCTCGGCAGTGTGGGCTCCGAGCTTAGGCTTCAGCTTCGGCTTCGAGCTGGTGAGCACGACTAGCACTTCAGGGATCAACTTCCTCGAAATCGAACCGCTCATGATTTGGGCTGGTCTTCCGTCCTCTTCACGCTCGTCGTCCTCCTGCTCTTGCTCCATCTCTTCCTCCCCTGCGTCGCTGTCTCCAATGGCTTCTATGGCACTTTCCTTGATCTCCATCAGCACTTCGTTGAACAGCTCCGCATCCACGTTCCTTGGCATGCGATTTGAGCTGCTTTTGTGGCAGCAGGCATGACTTGTTTCCACTACTGCCATAGTGCCGAGCCTACTATCAGCAAAAAGCGTGAACCCAAAGCTCTGTCCAGATGCGGAATGCTCATGCAGATCTTTCCCACCGGAAGCGCATAATCGTTGTCCTTCTTCAGGGAGAGTGCGTCCCGAATCATCCTTGTGGGTGCAGGGCTCGGGATGTAGAGGCAGGTACGGCATCTCTCGTTGACCGGCAACTCTGCAACTGCAACCTCAACAGGGTTTAAAGCCCCGAGCCGATTTGAAATCTCGAACGATTGAAATATCATCGGACTTGTCTCTTCTTCATGGCGGCATCGAAGAGCTTGCGGCGTTTGGCTGACAGTACCTGAATACTGCTGCGTAGCGTTGGCATCGGTTCAAAGGTTTTCGTAATAAGCACCGAGTGACAACAAACCCCGAGGTATGTCAAAAGCCGTTGTCTCAGAATCCCTCCAACATTTACACGTTGACCCATAAACCCAAACAGGACCACTGCGGGGCCGAAACACTTCAATGGGCTTCGCTTCCTTCAAGATGGAGCGGCACAACTTCTTCAGCTCGACGCTGCTCTTCTTGACCAGTGCCTCTACAGGTGGTTCAGGATAATGCTTTGAGGATTCACATCCGATAAAGGCTCTCCGGTTTTTGAACATGCTTGTGCTCCTTCTTGGCAGCCAAGTCTTTCCGGCAGCGCTCGAACTGGCGGGCGGCACCGTCCGCTGCGGCTTCAGTTTTGGTTGCATCCCGCCGGGACTTCAGGGGACGCGCCACGTCCCGCAGTTTCACCATCGTGGCCAGCTGCTGCTGCCCGAGTCGAAGCTGCCTCTACACTCTACACACTCAGACGTAGCGGGAGTTTATGTGTCGTTTGACGTGCACGTGGCCAGTATCTGTCTGCAATGACTCCTCGTCTAAATGGAAACAACTGGAAAACCAAAGCATTCAGCGAGCCAAACGGCTAAGAAAGTCTCTGCTCTAACATGTCGGCTTGCATCCAGCCTATGCCTTCATAACATGCGAATACAGGGGCTACATCCAGATCCAAGTGCAGAAATGCAGGAGCAGAGTGTAACAAGAATCGGCGTGTACGCGGGGTGTGTAAATGAGCTGTGCCATTGGACCATTGGATGAGTGTGTGCATGCGTGAGGCCATGCTCCACCTTTCGATGCGGAACAGAACAGACAGCTTTCTCATCCTAAGCGACACGCATGGAGAGCCCTGCACAATTAAGTATTCAGCCCTTAGCCCTGATGACTGCCTTTTTTTGCAGACTTCGCAGTCCAAAAGAGTGGCCCGAGATTCTCTTAGATCTGGGTATGGTTAAGAGACGGACGAACCAAGCAATGCAGTTGGTGAGTTGGTGTCAGAAAGTCGGATGGTGTACCGAGAGTCTGATGATCACGTGGGCTAGTCCTCGTCGCAAGTCCCGGCAGATTCTCGGCAGCACCTGCGAACAAACATTTACCATCAATTAGCATAGCTCTTTGACGCCCATGCATATGCTGAGGCAGGTCATACCAGTAAGGGCAGAATCGATATAATAGGTCCCTTGGGAGTTACCAGGGTTGCTATACTATGAGGTTACTACAAGGTTGCCTTAAATTCCTCAAGTTCTAAAACCTCCCTGCGGCATGCACTCCTTAAGCGCTGAACCGTCGTCCACTCGGGCGAGAGCTTCTTCTCCACAGGGAAGCCTCCGAAATCGCGGCGTTCACAGAGAAACGCATACGTACCTTATGCCTGTTGGGGGTTGGGGGGTTCAACATGCCGCCTTCCTCATGCTGGTAATGATGGGCATTCTGTCTCCACGAACCCTTTCCGACCTCAGCTTCGACCACGGGCTCGCAGACTTCACTTCAGCCCATCTCTTGGCCTTCGTCAGGAAGCATGGCCGTGGAGTGGATGGACGTGCTAAACGCAGCCTGCCTAGCAAGATCTCCAAAGAGTGTCAAAACAGTCGCAGAGTGACATGTGGCAGACATGAAGTACGTACTGGAATAAGAAAACTCTGCTGCCCGCCAGCGTGCGCGCTACGGCAAAACTAAAGCTGAATGGACTTTATTCTGTTTCAGGGTATCCGAAAAGCTGAAGCGCACAGGGTCTATCACCAAGCTTCTAGTAAGTACACCCGGCATCCGACTGAAAGTACACACTGGAGCCTTCTTGTCGGGCATACTCGGAGTCTCAGCAGTCGCCCTGAACAGATTGAATGTAAAGATGTGGCGGAGCATCTGTGTCCTTTCCACCGATTCCACCACTCGGAACTGGGAGCAAGCTTTTTTTTGTGTCTCCGCAGGATCTCTTCAACTTGCTACGCGACTCCCATCAAGCTCATTGTAGAGTCTCGAAGGCAGCTCTGCAGGACAAACTGTCAGAAAAAGACAAACGATGACAAAAGCTGCATTCTGCCGATTTGGCAAATTATCGGACGAGGCAGTCTCAACTTGACGGTTTCACAAATTGCGTCTTCAGGCAATCACATCCATTGACGTTAGTCAGTCTTGACAGGGCAACATCCATCCACGGGCGCAGTGGGCCCTGGCCACTGGTCTTCATGCCGGCATACAAGATGTGAAACAACTCTCGGTTCGTTCTGGCTTTTCAGATATATCAACTTCATGCACGGGCGTGCCACTTACATCCCATTATTTCTGCACACCTACAACAATCCTAAGCCTATTGGATGGTGTCATGAGTGAACACTAGGCGAGACGGAGACTTACCTACACCAGCAGCTACACCTAGGCATCTCTTACAACCCTAGCTGCTGGCTCCTTTTCTGCGAGTCTTGGTGAAGCTTCCTGTACTTACTTCAGTCTGGCGGCTGGCAGACAGCTTGCATCATGGATTCAATCGATGCGATGGGTGAAGCAACACTACAACCTTGCAGCGTTGAGCGACGATTCGTTGATCAATGATATCTTGTGGCAAACATCTAAAGAACAACTCGGGCACCTGTACAGATTCGCTTGAGTCGGTGTCTGAATGCATGTGGAAGCACATCAATCTCCTCCACGACCTGTATACTGTATACCCGACCATACTCCCGACCATTAATCGTTGTGCGGCAAAGTTTTAGAGAAGACTTGATCTGTTCCTGGTGGCTTGAAAATGAAACGGTGGCATGCACCCCGAGACGATCTTGATGAGCAAGTCATCTTACACCAGCCACCCAGTATCCCCATCAACCCTATAACACGAAGAAAACCCCCCATCTGTGAAACCACTCCGAAACCCAACAGAACAGACCTGCCATACTTCGGCTGCACTTCTGGGTGGCAGGCCAGGCTGCAACTCTCGACTCTCTAATGACTCTAATTAGCGGATCAAACTTCTTCCAGGTCGTCAGCTGGGAACGAGGAAATAGAGCCCGATAGGCGTCTTTAAAGACTCTAGACAATGCTGCGTGAACCTACTGCGATGAAGTTCAACCTCGTTCCGTACCAACTCCCAGGAAGGAAAGAGAGCTTTCCGCACGGGCCAGTTTGCAGCCTACTCGCAGTTTGGCTGCATGCACGCCGCAGCTGAAATGCCCTCTACAACCGAATTGTCCGGGCTAAACGTTCCGGTCACCGGTCGCACAAAAATCACTGAAAGCCTCGCACAAGGGGAGTTTGGGATCAAGGTTGCCCAAGCGTCTTGCGTCTGGCAAGACGACTTCGACCTTGGAGCCGTCGGTTCCCAATAAGGCCGCGCGGTGGCACAAATCTGCGACCAGGTCTCCGATGGAGGCATGGAGTGTCAGTGTCTTGCCGGACATCATCGACAAGAAGATCTCCATCGTGGATCCGTGTCTTTCGCAGCGCAAGGTGAATATCTGCCTTCGATCAAAAGCAGCCGACCTCGAGAAGAGTTGCTCTGACAGACGATCATGGATATGCTCGAAGCCCCATTCGAGCACTTCAGAGGCTGTCACGGCCACACCTTCGTAGCGAAACATTCGACGATGTGGTTCTGCTGCGAGCCATGTGTGGAGGTCGTGGACATGGGCCGGATCTATTGGAAACTGCATTGACTGTGGCACCCATGCCCCCACATGCGCCTCGCCTTGCACAAACCAGCACCAGTACATTTGGAGGCTCCATGCCACAATAGGCTGGTCATCCTTGTCTTCTTTGTGGTGTGCCTCCAGTTGAGAACGGACCAAATACCTTGGTTGCAGCCACGCCCTCGGAGGCCAGCCTCGTGGCAGGTTCCCAATGTTCTCAAGCCACAGGAGGTCCCCCTCAAGAGCCACACACAAATGCGTCACTGCATCCTCCTGAAATGCAGCGAACTTTATCTCAAAGGTCTGCTTCGATGAGGCAGTCGAGGCCAAGGCAAACTTCATCACGCAGTACAGCCAGCTCAAGCAGCGAAGGGCAAGCAAGAGCATGCAAACCACCAGAAAGGTCACACATGTGCGGAACGCGAAATGCCATTCAAAGCAGGGGGGATCACAGCGGGTCATCAGCATGAGCATGCACGCCAGGAAGGAGCAGGCCAGGTCGATGAGAGGGCAGCAAAGGAAGCAGGAGCTCCTCACAGCTCACATTCCGAGCTCTCATGAGTGGTCTACAACTCTCCACTCTAGGTTAGCTGAAAGTAAAGACCGCAGCCAGGGGGTCGGAAATCAGCACTTCTGGCTGCAAGGTAATTAGCAACATCGGCAAAAGTTTAGTATGTTTTGGTCCCTTGTGGGAGCTCGTAGATTTACCAGGCCGGTGAAATCCTACGACCCTGTCATCAGAACTTCGTCATCAAACCCTAAACCCCTGCAATCCCTTAGATACGTTGTGATGTCAACGTGTGCATACATTCTGCAGGATACCCACTGTCAGAGTACCCGGATTGCCACAGCACGCCTGTAGGGCCCCCCTGGTCTCCACCGCCGTCGCTCGAGGAACTCCATCGCAAGGCCAGACACCACCAACCGACAAGTTTCTGCTTCCTCTGCATCGATCTTCTTTTCCAGCAGTGTCAACTTCTGCCCATCAGTACAAAGGCTCAAACACATGCTCAGGCCGACCGTGAAGGATAAGGCAAGGAACCCGAGGCATATGGAGACGAGCTCCTGAGTCCTCTCAGTGCAAGGAAGCTCATGCACCGCAGTTGGAGCCGTCTTCACTGGCTCGTATGCAATCCGGCGGCTGCCAGCCGAACTCATGGGCGAAATCTCCCTGAGGTGTGTGCAGGAGTCGCAGCACAAGCCGTGCGAGTCTTGCACTTTCCGCAGCTCGTCTTTTTGCGGAGTCAGCTGCACCAAATCGCCTTCCTCGGAATCGTCCGAAGCACCCGGGTGGCAGCTGCAGCGAGGCCAAACGCAAAAAGCCACAACAGTCGAAAAAACCAGCAGGGTGATGAGACTGTTCCTCTTCTTTCTCTGGTTGCCGAAGGGCTGCCGCCGAGGGCACAGAGGCGACAAGAGCTGCGAGCAGGCAGACATTACCGATCTGGGAGGTGGGTCAGCGTGAACCAAAAACTGGCGGGGAGGTGAAGGTGAGAAGTCTGCACTCTGTCTGTACTCTGAGACTGCTTGCAAAACGGAGAGACAGCCCCCTACACTGGCATGCAAACCGCAAAGCCTGCGCCAGCTGCACATTGACTTGGAAAGCTTTGTTTCGGAATCGATGCTCACCAATGACCTGACATGTGCCGGTCCAGGCTGGAGAAGAAGGCCTTCTAAAGCAGCCAGCTCCCACTTCTACATCGCTGAGTACGTGCAGATGCTCGGAAACCGTCAGTCGGAAAGTCCGTTGACTGGCATCTAGCCTAGAAGCTGCGTGCTGCAGCAGAGATACTCGTCATTTTGGCATGATAAGCGTCTCTCTCGCCCGTTGATCGATGATCGTCGGAGCCAGAGCTCTTGTGCCAGAGTCCTCTAATTAATTGTTAAAAGTATATGCAGCGAAGCGAAACGGTGGAAAAACATTCAAACGCTGAAGAATTAACCCTTCCTGGTGCAAAGAAGTGCAGTGTGACGCACGACGTTGACAGACATGTCATTTTTGACGCGCAGTCATGTTTACAAGGATGTTCAAGGTTGCCCGCGTGCTGGGCCAGAGGGTTGCACCAGCTCTAAGCAGCAGACTACGAGTTTCACGATACGTGGCACACAGCTGGTGCTGTTCTGGGTCCATGCGGGTCCAGACCGCTCCCGCGGATGCCGGCTTCCAATTGTTCCGCTGCACCAGCGACAAAGGAGCGTTGCCGTTGCCATTGATCTTGTTGACCCGGGCTCCAGCTCAAGAGCATCTGCATGATCTCCATAGCTTTCTCGACGGGTGACAAACAAGCATCTTACAGATAGAAAGTGTGAAGTGAGCCGCGCTGATATAGGATGAGGCATGTCGTGGGCTGCAGTCAAAATTGGCTTCCCTGTCCCCACGACGAGAGATTCTCACCCTGGACGGTGCGCTTGGACTGGAAGCCCCCGCTGGTATGTTCAAAAAAGATTAATGCGAGGATTGCCCCCACATTTGTCGTCTTGCACACACTGAACCTGCTAATGGGGCACTCTTCCCCTGCTTGACCGGGCCGAGGCGGACGACGCGAAGATTGTACAATCAGCCCGTGATCCCGTTCCGACCAAAGTGTGATCTGTGCAATGAAAATAACCAAGAGGTTAGTGCGACGTAATGATTTCCGGAACTGGGCGAGAAAAACTGTCCTCGTATGTCAAAGCACCACAGCCATTTTTAGTCTTCTGAAACTCGGCAGACGGATGCACTTGCTTTACGAGATCCTTCTTCCTGTGGTTCCTGGTAGTGAGTCAGCTTGAAATATCGCGTGTCGTTAGCCGGTCAACAGGATCTGGGTGCCGAACCATTCTAAAGAATTATTGGCCGTTTCGTCGGCCGCAGATTTGCGGGGCATGCTGCCAGTCCTCAAAAGCTTCTCATGATACAGTATGGAGCATCAGCACATCACAAGCAACTGTAATGAACAGGTCGAACTAGCCCTGGGAGACAACTCACGGCTTAGCCACACGTTGCATGAGCCGTGAGCAGAAAGCCTTTTGCAGGACCAGGTTTTGATGATCAGCACGAATCAGGCTTCGATCTATGAGCACGGTCGATTTAGAAACCAACGCGATGTCAGCACGAACGAGCAAGTCACGAAGACATCGTATTGAGCACAACCTCCATTGATAATTGCAAGCAGCAAGAAAAGGAACAGCCGCAGCTGCTTTCCGACGAAGACATGCTGCATGATGCATCTGCCCGGTACAGGGCGATAGGACAGACAAAACTAGGGCATCTTTCTTAGTTTGCGATGCTGCCTCAGCAAATTCACAGGAGTACTCGAGCTGGCCTCTTAAACATGTCTAAACACTGCGGTCAGTGCCAGCGCTTCAATCGAGTCAGGACTCTTCGCAGTGGTTACTGCTGCGGCAGTTCGTTCGAATATGCATGTGCTATGCATGCCAATTTTGGGAGTGAAGTTAATGATCCCCGGCCCACCCCTTTGTCGTGTTGGGCTCTCGTTTGTTTCTGGCTGAGGCTTTACGGACAAGGCGGACAAGCTTTGAACCTCGAAGCCCGCAGTTCACACTACATCAAAGCCCGGCAACAGCCTGCTACCCACATTGATCGAGCCTTAGAGGCCCTCTCCCACACATCCATTGCAAACCTCGAGTTTATCCTAGCAACCCGAAGCCCTGCAGCAGTCCTCAGTGACGCAGCACAGACTGCCGGCGCTGCCGGCCAGTGCCTGACGTCGCAGAGGAGGCTGCGCCAGTTGCCCTCGACTGTACTGTTCGTCACTACGGTTTGCTGGATGCTCATGACGAGTGGACAGGCATCCGGAGTCCATTGCACGACGGCAAACAAAATCCGAACGACCCGACATTCGTCGTGACCCTTTGCAAGGTGGGGACGTCTTACCTGTCGCACCCTGGGTCACCCGCTACACGTACCTGACACTGACACGCTTCATATTGCCTGTCGGATGAGTGGTATTCTTACGCACGTATACATGCTACGCAGAAAATTAAAGAGCGCCGCAGTCCTCGGTCTGCCTGACATTTCCTGCTTAATAAGGAATGAGTCATGAAGCCAAGCCATCTCGCCCGGCATCTATCACAAGTCTCATGTTCCCTCAACCCCCCCAAAAAAAACAAGACTGTCCGCAGAGGCCCACCCCAAACTCGGAAGAACAACAGCCCGCAGAGAGTCAGGCTCTGACTCCTTCCGACCCAAAGCCCTAACCAGAAGCCCCGATTCAACCAAATTCAGCGCAGATATTGGCAGAGGTCAAGCCCTGTGCAGCAGAATGCACAGTGGTGTGGTCGAATGCGGCAATGCAACCGGTACAGGCAGTATAGCTGCATAGACTGAGAGAAAGCCCTTTTTCGAACGCTTGGTCTGCGACTTGTAACCTGCTGTCACACTCAAGTTCCCCGATGAAGCATCTATACCGTGCTGGCCATGCCGTTGAAACTACGAGACACCCGGCTCTTCGGCAGGAGCGTCTCTCACTGTGGAACTATGCTCGTCATTGCTCGTCGGGGACAGAGCTCCGGCACTACGATTTTTTCTCCTGTACAGTTAAAAGCATGCATGATTCGGGAGCCGAGATTCATTCAAACAGAAACGGTCCGCAGTGTCGGAATTGCGCCCGCTTCGAGCAACAAGCTGCGAGTTTCACAAAAGGTATCACGCATCTGAGGTGTTTTGCGCCACTTTTCAAGTTTCCACTGTATCAGCGACATGGGAGTTTCGCCGATGTCATCGGCCCTGTTGACCTCCGCCCCAGCCTCCAAGAGCAACGTCATCATCTCCATAGCCTGCTCGAGGAGCATAGAACAAGCCTTTTACTGGCAGAAAGTGGGAAGTCAGCAGCATTCTAAAGTTGGAATCAGGATGTCGTGGGCTATACCTGCATGCCTACAGAGATCCAAGTCTCCATGCACACACCCCAGACTGGTTTAAAAGAGTTCTTGCTAGCTGCTAGCTGCGAGTCGCTGCGAGCTGTACGAACACTTACCCTGCTTTGTTTTGAACAGAATCCTATGGGCTTACAACACCAAAAGTCTCCATGTGCACAGATATCCTCAGGATGGATTGAACAAGCCGCTCCGTGCTTACTGCTAGCGGTACGATGCAGTATACGGCTCTATTTTGAACAGAACTCTACCACCCCCCCTCCCCCGCCACCCCTGACCCACCACACCTTGGCATTCTGGTGGCGATGATGGCCGCATGTGTAGTACGCAATGGGCGTCTTCCTGGTTGCGTAAGTCAGGGGTGTAGTGCCTCTGCCATCTCCTTTGTATCCCGCCCTGTTGGGGTCTCTGTCTCTGCAGTCGCTGATCTGGTTGGGATCCGCCTTGTTCTCCAGCGCCGCACGGCATGGCCCGGGCCCCGCATCGATGCAGTCCCGCAGAGAGATGCAGTCGGGGTGCACGTGGCGGCTGTTCAGCAGATACCAGACCTCCTCGTAGCTGGTCTTCATCAAGTGCTCGGAGACCTCGAAGTCGATCTCCTTCTCGAGTTGCTCGAGGGGCATCACCTCCACACGCAGGCTGGGCGAATCCAGCTGCTCGGGGCACATACCCGGTAAGACCTCCTCCTCCTCCTCCAAATTCTCAAAGCGGGGCCGCAGCAAAGCCCACAGCTTGATTTGGGGAGGACAGCAGCCCAAGCGGGCGGCGAGCTCCTTCTTCGCCTCGTGCACCAGGAGCTGCGGCTTATCGCCCAGCTTCCCAAGGTCGAAGGACATGATGAACGCGGCCGTGCCGGAGGAATCTCTCTGCCGAAAGACGAGAGGTCCGCTGGGTCCGGGGCCATGCGTCCCCCGCATGATGTCGAGCTTCTGAAGCCTCCTGAGCCTCTCGCGGCTCTCTGCCGGTTGCCAGTCATGGAGGCAAGTCCTCAGCGCATCATCCAGGAAGGAATCTCCTTTCTGCTTGAGCTCGTGCTCCGGCTGCAGCGCCAGCGCCTCCAGCCCAGCGACCAAGGCCCGCAGCTGCCCACGCGCCTCCAAAAGCGATGGCCACGTCGGATCTGCCTGGCCCCATGGCTTCTCGGGTTTCGGTGGGTAGAAGGACTTCGGAATCGTCTTTGCGTCCCATCCACTGCCTTCCGGATAATCGCCATCATGGATGCCGCCTGTCTCTCCAAGCAGGTTGCGCAGAATGATCACGAGTGCGAAGTAGTCGAGGCGGGGGTCGGCAAGGGGCAGCTTAACTTCCATGTCGCTGGGGGTCACATCGCGGAGATTGAAGCGAACATAGGAGCAACTGTGGAACTGCTTGTACAGCTGCGGCAGCACCCACCACACCCCTCTGAAAGCCAAAGCATAGCTCTCACGGATGTTTGCAGTTTCACGCAGACCGTCCAATGCCTTCCATTTGAATCCTGGCCTCCGTGCAGCTGAGCCGAAGTCCGCCAGGTACAGCTGGCAGTGGTCTTCACTCCACAGCAAGTTCTCCGGCTTGATATCCATGTGACAGAACCCGCACTCCCACATCCTGCCCAGTGCCCAAAAAATGTCAACCGCAGACCGTAGGATGCCTGTCAACCGGACGCGGCTGCACTGAGAACTGTTGCTCCCCATCCAAAGCTCTCGCAACGTGCAGTCCATCTTCTGCAAGGCCATGCCAGTTACCTGCACACCACCGACCCATGCCCGGACGTTGCAGAGCCAAGGAACGACGCCCCGGCAATCGCACAGAAACTGGAGGACCTTCGCTTCCTCTTGAAGTATTGCCTCGCGACGACGCACTAGCTTCACATCGTCCACTTCGTTAAGAAGGAGCGCGTCGTTGACGTGGAAAGACAACCTGTGGACTCGTGGCAGCTTCACGACTGCATCCTCCCCATTCACCTTGCCATCCACACGGTGCGCAGTGCCGAATGTGCCCCAGGCGAAAGCACGTTCGACGTTCAGCTCTTGTGCGGTGTCTTCGACCACCACCTGGTCGGGCTTTGGCAATCTCAGATCGGCCGGGCGACCCTTCGACTGTGAGCGCTGTACGACCACCACCTCGTCAGGCTCTGGCAGTCTCGGATCAGCCTCCGGGAGACAATACAAGCAGCACTCTAAGAGTCTGGATGCCATGGCTGCAGACTAAAGCGGACAGGGCTACAGCTGATGCTACTAGGTGCACAAGCAAAGAAACCCACTGCATACACCAAGCAACAACACTAAGGCTTCCGACGCGAATGCTTTGATCGACGGAGACGGAACACTTGATCGCTATTCGAGCACTTCCACATGAATCTGGATCTCCTATGACGTTGAAACCTAACAGTCACAGGTCACAGAAAAGGATGCAAAAGCATCCATCTGATTCAGAGATCCGCCCCATCATGTCTCGGCAACTTTGCCTCGATCTCGCGACGGAAGATGCCACTCCTCCTCAGCGCCCACGGCACGTCCTGGACAGCGACCGCGTTGCTTCTTCGGGCTGGTGGCAGGCAACGGGATTGTTGTCCGGGATCGTTGTCGCTTGGGTGCACCTGCGTGTCTGGAACCGAGGGTTTGCCTCTGAAACGATCATTTTCGGTTTAGTCTGTGACTGCTCCAAAGGACGATGAGGATGCCGATGATGAGACTACTCCTACTCCTGCTCCT